TAGAGTTGTAATGGAGTCATATATATATATATATATATATCAGAAGAAAGTAGAACACGAAGGCTGTGACTTGAAGGGCCTTTTTCTCCAGGGAAATTAGGTGCTTGATTGCCATATGATTTTCACTGGACTTATAGTAGCGTGGGCAGCTCTATTATTTAGAAAGGGGTATTTTTATCTTTTATCTTTTTTTTTTGTTTTTGTGTGGGTCCAAAGTTGGCTCTAAAGTTGTAGGCCTAATGATATGGCTAATGATGCCAAAAAATTGAATTTTGGCACCAAAATGCAAAATTTTCAATAAAAAATTTTCCTTGAAATAGTTCATGCATGCACAAGCACAAGCGCATGCCTAGGCGTAAGGCAACCACGTGGTCATGTGATGGATTTTGTGCTTTTGCGCGAAAGATGTTCCCGGCTCGCTGGGTCATGCCCACCAACCTGTGCAACCGTCCCCTGACACTAGTTTCAGACTGACTTGACCCGGTCAATACCCATTCCAACTTGACCCAACCCACCACGACCCACGTGACCACTACCAACCACTTCTGCTCCATCTCCTGTCGTTGTGTGTTGCCGCCACGACACCACACCACCTGATGCGCAGTCGCCCATCTGGCCATCATCACACCACCGCTGCAGTGGTACCCTCCTACCAGCGCCGCCGCCTGCAACCCAAAGTTCACACAGCGGTATTGTGTGCAAGTGTACATACACTCTCACACACACACACACACGCATGCTTGCTTATCATGCACCATTGCATCCTTGCTTGTGCTGGTACATGCATTTGGACCCCACTATGTTCTTAATGCCTCATTGTACTTTTTTGCATGCACAGACACACATACAAACCCATGCATGCGTGACTGCTTCTTCAGACGTTTATCATTTCCCCACAACCGCTACAATCGTGGGAGTAACATTGTCCTGCCAACACTATCATTTTAAGATTATAGTTGCCAACCACCAACATTGACAACGACAACATGGTCAAAGTACCCAAGACAATGCAAAAAGCTTTAAGTACAAATTTCTGAATTATTTATTTATTTGATGAAATAAACAATATTGTCAAATGCATCATCATTATATTTTATCATTTGATACAAATTTCGATGTAATTTTTGAACAAGAAAACATTCCAGATTCAAATTAAAGATCGTTTTTATTGTCAAATTTACCAGTTTGACAAGACAAACTTGATGATTTTATAATTAGTCTGATATGAGTCAAAAAATATCCAAATCAAGCCATTAAAACACATTTGAAGGCTTTAAATCGCTAATTGGATGATCAAATGAACTCCAAATTTGACATAATTGTAGTCAAATTAGGCATCTCAACGAGAGAAGTCTAAGCTTGCATAATTATGTGATTATTAAGACCCTCAAATAATTATAAAAAACTATATAATCAAGGGAGATTGATATGAGTCTTCTGATCAGGTGGTTATGGGAGTTATTTGCCAAAAAATCAAAACATCTCCCTCAAAATCTATAAATAGACCCCTTCTCTTTACATAAAAAAAGAAGAAAGATTCAAATTCCAGTGATGTTCTAGACCAAAGACAAAATGATAATTTTCGACCTTTGTAGCTGTCGACCACCCATGCTTGGTGCCATCGGCAAATTTCTCTTATTAATGATGTGTCTTGAATATGGTGTAACGATGTATTCTAAATATGATATAAATGATTAACGTTATATTGAAGTCCTACTTATAGCTCCCAACCTCCATTTAATAGATGCTGACCACCCTCGATCTCATAGGTCGGTCGTCACCTATTGCCCTACTCATTGATATTGGCAAACTCAGCTAACTCATGATGTATCACAAATATGATGTAACAAAATATCTTAAATTAATATAATGTAATAATGTATCTCGAATATTGTATAACGATATAACCTGTATATAGTGCAAATGAATAATGTCATATTAAAGATTCATCAACAACTCTTGATGACAACTGGTTACGACTACCGTATTCAGGACACATTGACTTCTTTTGGACTCCTAAGGTTTTATATATGTCACATACCGACAAATGCATCTATAGTAGTAAAATCCGAGAGAATGGTTGCAACCAATAACTATTGTTACACCTACGACCCATGTGACTAACTGACACAATTGCAGTCACTAACTACAGGTTATGTGGCCAACTGATGTTATTGTAGTCACCAACTATGGTCTGTGTGACCAACTAACACTATTTTAGTCCCCAACTACGACCTATGTGGCAAACTGACCCTATTACAATTACCAACTACGACCTATATGACCAACTAACGCTATTGCAGACACCAACTATAGCTTATGTGGACAATCAATGCTATTGCACTCTCCAACTATTACTTACGTGTCCAAACAATGATATTGTAGTCACCATATATGGCCTCTATGGCTAACAGATATAACTGCAACTATCAACTACCAACTATGACCAATATGACTAACTATGACGTATATAACCAACTATAACCTATGTGGCTAATTACTACTGCATCACCAACTACAACATATGTGATCAACTATGACCTATGTGGTTAAGTGTTATTACAGTTTTTAACTACGACCTTTCTCGACCAACTGAGGCTATCACAACCACCAACTACATCATTTATGACAAACTGTTGCCTTTGTGACAATTAATAGTGGCCTTTGCAGCTCACTATTTCTATTATCACCAAGAACTATATTTGTTGTAGCTCAATTATGATTATTATAACTGAACTACTGTTGTACATTTGTAATTAGTAGCTTTCTAATTTTGTCATCACTAATTTAGTTGAAGAGTGGACCCATATACTTACAATCATATAGTAGATTACTTTAATTGGGTTAGGTCCCGCTAGTTTTTCTCTTTGCAGGGTATTTCCACATAAGAAGTCCTAGTGCTTCTCCTATTATTTCTACATTTTATGTGTGTGTGCATGTGTTTGATTTTCATATAACGCCTAGACGTTAAATTATCACCTTACCACTATGAATCCTCCAACACACAACAATAACTAAGTCTTTCATATTGTAAGGATTCAAGCCTCGCATAGTATAACACATTATTGATTGTCAAGCGTGACAAAAGTAAGAATATTAAGATAAACATATGACAAAAATAAGAAGATGAAATTAAAAAAAGAATTTTATTTAAGACATGACCAGAGTGCATCAATTAAAGAATTAAAAATAAACTTAGATGATTTAAATATGTACAATATAAGCTTGCATTGCATGTATCAAATGGTAGATGAAATTGGTAGAAAAAAAAAAAAAAAAAAAAAAAAAAAAAACTAAAATACTATGTAGTTAGAAATTATTTAAAATGATTTATAAATACTATATTTAATTTCTCATAAAATATAAAAAAACAGAATTTATATTGTCAATATCTACTCGTTAGAATAACTCCAATAATAATGAAAATGAATTTTGACGAATGCTCATCTAAAATAAGAAACCAACATAATAAAATGTATTTCATTCATTATAAATAAGGACAAATTACATATATATAGCCCCCCGAAGCAATGCTATTTATAAATCTAGCACCCACCTTCATGCATTTTTCCAAATTCTCACTCTAATATCAAAATTCCCCAACACATATTTATCATTTTTATCAAAATTTCAATGATTTGATCATGTAACACGTAGATATATTGACTCGATAGTTCAAAAAGAAATTAGATGAATGTTAGATTTTATAAATAATAATATTTCCGGTGCTATATACATGTAATTATTCCTATAAATAAATGAATCACATACTCCAAAATAGCCTTTAACTGAGAAAATATTTGCGCACACGT